CGCCCTGCTGCTCGCTGCGGAGTCATTGTAGCGACGTGACCGACGTCCTCGCCTCCCGCGAGAATTCGCCTTGCTTCTCGCCGCGGAGTCATCGCCGAGACGTGTTGAACGTCCTCGCTTTACAACGAAATCGACACGCCAGTGTCTGACGAGCCTCGCCCCGATCCAGATATCCACCGACCATGTCTTCGGAGCTGGAGAGCTTGCTCGTTGCCCAAACCCACTCAATTGACCAGCTCACAAGGGCGCTGGTCAACTTCAAGAAGCTTCCTAAAGCGCAGATCACGCTTCCCAAAACGAAGGGGAGGCTGACGAACTTGGAGGCTCTGTGGGAGAAGATTCAAGCCTTCCACATCCAGCTGCTGCAGACGGCTACAGCGGAGGACAAGAAGACGACCCCCTACTTCAAACAAGAGGGATTTCTTGCCGCTGAGGAAGCCTACTTCGACGCAGCGGACCATCTCCACGAGACCATCGGTAAACTGAGTAGCGACGCCCCGAGCGCGCCGTATCGAGGTAACGAGTCATCATATCGCGACGCGCACGCTGGTTTCTCACTGCATCTGCCTCGTATTTCGCTTCCGGATTTCTCTGGTGATTTCACGCAATGGGAAAACTTTCGTGGCATTTTTGTGTCCCTCGTCGACAAACACGAATCATTAACGAAAACGCAGAAATTACATTACCTGAAAGCGAGCCTCTCCGGCGAGGCTGCGAAATTAATCAGTAACATACAAATTTCTGACGCTAACTACGAGGCAGCGTGGCAGCTTCTACTTGACGAATACGATAACCGTAACGCGATTATTCACGCGCATATCCATTCGTTCGCCGACTTACCGAAAATGAAAAACGAGAACGTTCCGGAATTGAAAAAACTTCGCGATAATGTATCCGCTTCTCTTGCCGCGTTAGCGAATCTCGAGCGTCCCGTCGAGCAGTGGGACGATCTACTCGTCTATATTATCTCGCAAAAGTTTAGTCCGCGAACGCGTAACGAATGGAACTTGAAACGAGGCGATACGGATGCGTATCCTACGTACAAAGAGATTCATGACTTCATGACTCTTCGCATTCGCGGTCTCACGGATTACCCTTCGCAATCCGACTCTGCGTCGAATAATGCGCGGAAACAAAGCTCGTACTTCCGTCAATAATGTGTCTCCTGTAAAATGCGTTCGTTGTTCCGGAAATCATAGTTTGGCAAAGTGCAATAAATTTTTGAGTTTGCCGGTCGAGCAGCGTCGACTCGTCGCGCGCCAGCATAAGTGCTGCTTTAACTGCCTGCGAACCGACCATTTCTTAAGTAATTGCCCGAGTAAAGGACGGTGCAATCGATGCCACCAAGCTCATCATTCGCTGCTTCACAGCGAGAATACGGAGGGTGGTACCAAACGCGAGCCTTCCGCGATTGACGCGACGCTCTCCTCGCAAGCTACCGCGTCGGTCGCCGCTGCCTCTGCGCCGCCGGCCTCGCTCTCCGCGTCCGTTCAGACAGTGCATTCTGAGCCAAGCGTTGTTACGTCGCCGCCTCACGTACTTCTCGCCACCGCGTATGTAAGGCTAAGTACGATCGAGGGCCGCACGTTTAAAGTACGTGCACTGTTAGATCAAGGCTCGACTTATAGTTTCATTTCTGAATCTCTTTGCCAGACTATGCGAACCAGGCGTCATCGCGCCGCGTTAAATATACATTGCTTTGGAGAGAAATTTAGCGGAGTCGCTCGGTCTCGAGTGAATCTCACGCTCGCGCCCTGCGACAAGCAGGGACCGATATTCCCTTTTTCCGGATTCGTGTATCAGCGAATCACAGCTTATACAGCTACTCAGACAAAGCCGGCCGCAATGTGGCCGCATTTACACGACTTGCCGTTAGCAGATCCCGATCCCTCTAGTCATCACCCGATTCACGTATTAATCGGCGCGGATTTATACGGATCTCTGCTACTCGACGGTCTTCGTAAAGGCCCGGTCGGCACGCCGACGGGTCAACGTACGGTTTTAGGATGGATCATCTCCGGTCCTGTCGGCTCCGCGCGCCCAGCCGGAGAATCCGCATCCGTTCTGAATTGCGTATCCTGCGAGGATACGAATTCCTTGTTGCAACGTTTTTGGGAGGATGAAAGCATCCCCTCTCTAACCTCTTTCACGGAGGAGGACGAACGTTGCGAAAAGCATTTTGTTGCTACGCATTCTCGCGACTTGCAAGGACGCTACATTGTGCGTTTGCCGTTTAAAAACGGTCCCCCTCAGATAGGCGACACCTTTCGTAAGGCTTCAATTTTTTATTCTAAAATGGAACGCCGACTCTCGCAAAAGCCCGAGATCGCGTCTCAGTATCACGGTTTTCTCCACGAATACTTGTCTATGGGGCACATGGAGGAGGTGCGCGCTGAGGAGCGCTCTCCATACCCCCCGGTATACATCCCGCATCATTTCGTCTTGCGCGAATCAAGTACCACTACAAAATTACGCGTCGTGTTTAACGCGTCCAGCAAATCAGACGATAACACCGCGCTTAACGATTATTTGATGGCAGGACCGAAACTGCAACTCGACATTGCTGCGATAATTTTACGCTGGCGTCTGTTCCTTTACGTGTGCATGGCAGACATCGCGAAAATGTTCCGGCAAATACTCGTGCATCCAGACGACGTAGATTTTCAACGCATCCTTTGACGACCACCCGAAAGTCTGCTGATTCGTCTTTATCGTCTACTCACCGTGACCTACGGCCAAAAACCCTCTCCGTTTCTCGCACAGCGCTCCCTTCTGCAATTAGCTCGCGACGAAGGGAAAGATTTTCCCGAAGCGGTTTCGATAATCGAAGAATCGACTTATGTCGATGATGTTATTTTTGGAGCAGACGACCTTCCGTCTCTGCTCGAAAAACGCAAGCAACTCGTCGGTTTAATGAATCGCGGATGTTTTCCTCTCCGAAAATGGGCCGCGAATTCAGCCGAACTTTTGATGGATATCCCGGAGGATCAACGTGAATCCTCGGATTATCCCATCAATCACGATGACACGCTCAAAGTCCTCGGACTTTCTTGGTCTCCGCGTGATGACTCGTTTCGTTTTGTGATTTCGCCGTACGCCGTGATCGCTCATACCAAGCGTTCCGTTCTATCATTTATCGCGAAGCTGTATGACCCTCTCGGCTGGGCGTCCCCGATCGTCATCACGGCCAAGATGTTAATGCAAGAGCTCTGGCTCCGTAAAATTGATTGGGACTCGCCAGTCCCCGACGATCTTCTGCCGCAGTGGATCAACTATTTTTCAGATTTGCCTAACATTAGTGCAATCTGCATTCCCCGATGGACAGGGATGCGTCAAGAGAAACTCGAAGTCGAATTACACGGATTCGCGGACGCGTCCACTCGAGCCTACGCCGCCGTAGTTTATCTCCGAATCGTGCACTCTCAGACGAACGTTCAGGTGAACCTCCTCGCGGCCAAAACGAAGGTCGCGCCATTAAAAACCGTCAGCGTTCCACGCCTTGAACTTAACGCCGTCGTTCTACTGACTCGTCTGCTCGAGTGGGTACGAGATTCTACGCGCTTAAATCGAGCTCCCTTATTTGGATGGACCGATTCTCAAATCGCGTTGGCATGGATTCAGCAGCATCCATCCAAATGGAATGCTTACGTCGCGAATCGCGTTTCTGAGGTGCAGACGCGCCTTCCCTCAGTCCGTTGGCAGCACGTTCGTTCTCACGACAATCCTGCCGACTGCGCTTCTCGCGGTTCTACCGCCTCCGATCTCGTTCACCACCAATTATGGTGGTCCGGCCCACCGTGGCTCAAAATTTCGCCGGCCTCATGGCCGATTCTCCCGATGCCTGATGCTGTTGACATTCTGCAAACGGTATCGTCAGAAGCTCGTCAAGCTACCGTGCATCTCGTCGATCCAACTCCGGAGTGGGATCTGTTCACCTCCTACTCGAGCTGGATCCGACTTCTTCGTGTTACGGCATGCGTTCGTCGATACGTTCAAAACTTAAAAAATAAAGCCGCCTCGTTAGCAATCGTTACGACGCCCTTGACCGCGTCTGAAATTCACGACGCTGCAGTCTTTTGTCTTCGATCGGTTCAAGCTACTTGTTTCCCTAACGAATGGACGGCTCTGAATGCTCATAAAGCCGTATCACGTACGAGCTCCTTACGCTCTCTTAATCCCTTTATCGGGAAAGATCAATTAATTCGGCTGGGCGGGCGGCTCGCCAACTCTGCTTTGCGCTACAATGAGCGACACCCAGTCATTCTTCCCAGACATTATATTTCTGAGCTTCTGATCGATCAAGCCCACCTCCGTTCCCTGCACGGCGGAACTCAGCTCACGCTCAGATGGCTTCGTCAAAATTACTGGATCATTTCTGCGCGAAGCTTGATCAAATCTCACATCCGGAGATGTGTTAAATGCAGCAAGCATTCCGCAAAAAACCCGACGCAATTAATGGGCGATCTCCCGAATCCGCGAGTCAACCCCTCTCCTCCTTTTTCTCATACGGGCATCGATTATGCCGGGCCAATGCTTATTACGCCTTTCGTCGGCCGCGGTCAAGGGGGGAGTAAACACTACGTCGCGGTGTTTGTTTGCCTCGCCACGAAGGCGATCCATCTCGAGTGCGTGGAAGATTACTCCACCGAGGGATTCCTCGCGGCTTTTCACCGTTTCGTCAGCCGACGCGGATTGCCCTCAGATATGTATAGTGATAACGGCACGAATTTTCAGGGCGCTGATCGCGAGCTCCAACGCAGCTTTCGCGCTCTTAAGCGTGACCCCTTCCTAAAAGGCGTCCTCGCGAATGACGGTGTCACGTGGCACTTCGTCCCTCCGGCGGCACCACATTTCGGCGGGCTTTGGGAAGCAGGCGTAAAAAGCCTGAAGCACCATCTCAAGCGGGTGGTCGGTGCTCGTACGTTATCGCGCTCGGAATTTGCGACCCTATTATGTAAGATAGAAGCGTGCCTTAACTCGCGACCGATCTCTCCGCTCAACGACGATCCTTCCGACTTTACCGCCTTGACGCCTGGTCATTTCCTGATCGGCAGACCGCTCACGAGCGTACCGGAAGAATCGTTACTCGAAATCAATGCGAATCGTTTGTCGCGATGGCAACACGTGCAACGTATGGTCGAGCAGATCTGGCGCTCTTGGTCATCGGACTATTTACATTCATTGCAACAGCGAGTCAAATGGACCGAATCTCACGACAATGTTAAAGTCAACGAGTTAGTTTTTCTCAAAAATAACTTGCTTCCTCCCTCAAAGTGGGAACTCGCAAGGATTCTGAAAGTCCATCCCGGACTTGACGGTCGCGTCCGCGTCGTCACAGTGCGCACCGCCAATTCCGAGCTTAAACGACCAATAACCAAGATCTGCCCGTTGCCCGCGTCTATCAACTCTCCGGGACCTGCAGAATCCCGTTAGTATTAAGTGATTTTTCGCTTTCTTCATTAGCTCTAAGGCCGTTGTAAAACGTAGACTAAGTCAAACATGTACATATTGTATATAATCTTAGCAATAAGACGCTCCTTTATGTGATCTCCTCCCCCGTTGTTTCGCATTCCGTCGAATACGAGGCGGGCGGCA